GGGTAGGTTTTTTGTAGATTTTTTTTTTTTTTTTTTTTTTTTTAAATCAGGTTGAGGAGGTTCTTTTCTCTTCCCGGTTTACAATTTTTTTTTTTTTAATCAAGAATGAGTGTTCAGGATTTTAAATGCTTTTTCTGCCTCTGTTGATACGTTCATGTGATTTTTTCTTTAGCCTGTTATGATGGATTACAATGATTTTCAAATATTGACCAGTCTTGCATGCCTGGGAAAAAAAATCCCAATTGGTTGTGGTATGTAATTCTTTTTATACATTGGATTCAATTTCCTAATATTTTATTGAGGATTTTGCATCTGTATTTATGAGAGATAGTAGTCTATACTTTGTTTTCTTGTAATGTCTTTGGCTTTGGTATTAGGGTAATGCTGGCCTCATACGATGAAATACTCCCTCTTCTTCTGTCTTCTGAGATTGTAGAGAACTAGAATTTCTTCCTTATATGTTTGGTAGGATTCACCAGTGAACTATTCTGGGTCTGGTTCTTCTGTTTCAGAGAGTTATTAATTATTGATTCAATTTCTTTGATACGAACCTATTCAGATTATTTCTTGTTTTGTGAGTTTTAGCAATTGTGTCTTTCAAGGCATTAGTCCATTTCATCTAGGTTATCAAATATGTGGGCATAAAGTTGTTCATGGTATTCCTTTATTATCCTTTTAATGTCCTTGGGATCTAAAGTGATGTTCCCATTTTCATTTCTGTTATTAGTAATAATTCCTTTCTTTTTTTAGCCTGGCTAGAGGTTTATCAATATTATTGATCTTTTTAAAGAACCAGCTTTTTGGTTGCATTGATTTTTCTCTATTGATTACCTGTTTTCAATTCATTGATTTCTGCTTTTTTTTTTTAAGATTTTATTTATTTATCTGACAGAGAGAGACACAGCGAGAGAGGGAACACAAGCAGGGGGAGAGGGAGAGGGAGAAGCAGGCTTCCTGCCGAGCAGGGAGCCCGACGCGGGGCTCGATCCCAGGACCCTGGGATCATGACCTGAGCCGAAGGCAGACGCTTAACGACTGAGCCACCCAGGCGCCTAATTTTTCTTTTCTAATGCTTAGCTTTGGATTTAATTTGCTCATTTTCTAGTTTCCTAAGGTGGAAACTTAGATAAATTTTAGATCTTTCTTCCTTTCTAATATATGTATTCAATGCTAAATTTCCTTCCAAGCGCTGCTTTTATTGCATCCCATGAATTCTGGTGTTATCATTTAATTCAAAATATTTTTTATTATGTTATGTTAATCACCATACATTACATCATTAGTTTTTGATGTAGTGTTCCATGATTCATTGTTTGCGTTTAAAATTTGAGATTTCTCTTTTGACTCACATATTATTTGAAGTATGTTGTTTAATCTCCACATATTTGGGGATTTCCAGTTGTCTTTATCTTATTGATTTCTAATTTAATTACATTGTGGTCTGAGGGTAGATATTGTATGATTTCTATTCTTTAAAATTTTCAGTGTTCAGACGAAACCAGAGAGGGAGACAAACCATAAGAGACACTAAATCTCAGGAAACAAACTGAGAGTTGCTGGAGTAGAGGGGGGCGGGAGGGATGGGGTGGCTGGGTGATGGACATTGGGGAGGGTATTACTATGGTGAGCACTATGAATTGTGTAAGACTGATGAATCACAGACCTGTACCCCTGAAACAAATAATACATTATATGTTAATAAAAATAATTTAAATTTTTTTTTCAGTGTTTTAGGACCCAGAATGTGATCTGTCTTGGTGAATGTTCCATGTGAGATTGAGAAGAATGTGTGTTCTGTTGTTTCTGGATAAAGTAGTCTACAGATTATTGATTATATTCAGTTGATTGATGGTGCTTTGAATTCAACAACATCTTTACTGATTTTTCTCCCTGCTGTATCTGTCCCTTTCTGAGAGAGGGATGTTGAAGTCTCCAACTATGATAGTGGTTTTATGTATTTCTCTTTGCAGGTTTATTAGTCTTTACCTCCAGTAGTTTGATGCTCTGTTACGTGCATACACATCGAGGATTATTATTTCTTTTTGAAGAATTGACCCTTTTATCATTATATAAAACCCTTTTTAATCCCCAATAACTTGTCTTGCTTTGAAGTCGGCTCTGTCTGAAATTAATATAGCTACTCCTGCTTTCTTTTGATTAGTGTTGGCATGGTATATTTTTCTCTATCCATTTACTTCTATGTGTCTTTATATTTAAAGTGTGTTTACTATAGACAACACATATTTGAGTCTTCTTTTTTGATCAGATCTGACAATCTTTTTTATTTTTAAAAAAATTTATTTGAGAGAGGTAGTGTGAGTAGGGGGATCTCAACCAGAGTCCCCACTGAGTGCGGAGCCAGCTGTGGGGCTCGATCCCATGACCCATGATCATGACCTGAACCAAAACCAAGAGTCAGATGCTCAGACAACTGAGCCACCCAGGCGCCCCACAATCTGTCTTTTAATTGGTGCATTTGGACCACTGATGCTCAAAGTGATTATTGATATATTAATATCTACCATATTTGTTACTGTTTTCAATTCTTTGCCCTTTTTCTTATTTTTCTGCTTTTTTTTGGCTTTAATTGGGCATTTTATATGATTACATTTTCTCCTTTTTATATTATACTTTTTTTTTTTTTTTACCTTTTTTAGTGGTTCCCATAGAGTTTTCAATATAAACTTACAACTAATCCAGGTTCACTTTCAAGTGATACTATGCCACTTTATGGGTAGTGAGAATACTTTATAATAACAAAATAATCCTAATTCCTCCCTTTTGTCCCTTCATTGTTGTCATTCATTTCACTTGTACATAAGCATACACACACAAAGTATACATAGTTGAATATAGTGTTTCTATTATTTTGAACAAAGTTATCTATTAGATCAGTTAAAAATAAGAAAAATGAAGGTTTTAATTTTACCTTCACTAGTCCCTCTCTGATGCTCTTCCTTTCTCTATGGATCAGAGTGTTTCAAACCTGTATCATTTTCTTCCCTCTAAAGAACTTCTTTTAATATTTTTTGCAAGACAGCTCTCCTGCCAAAAAATTCCTTCAATTTTTGTTTTGAGAAAATCTTTGTCTTCACTTTTGAAGACCACACTCTGGGTCCTAAAACACACTGAAAATTTTTACAGAATCGAAATCATACCATTCCTGCTTACTTTGAGCTGTGCTACAGAATTTTAGGTTGGTGGTTTTCCCCCCTCTCAACACTTAAATATTTACTCCTCTCTCTTCTTCCTTCCATGGTTTCTGCAAAGTTGGATGTTATTCTTAAATTATTTTTCACCTATAAGGTAGGTAGCAATTTGTCAGCTGCTGTTCAGGTTTTCCTACCCTGGCAATGATTCCCTTGGAGGTAACTGCTCCAGTAGGTTGTGGTTTTCTAGATTTGCCTGTCTCTCCCATTTGGGGGACAGTGGCTTGCACTTTGACCTCACTTCCCTTATGGATCTAGGAAGAGCTGTTTGTTCAGCTTTTTGCTTGCTATTAGGACAGAGTAGCAACTTCTAAACTTCTTACATGCAGGACTGGAAACTGGAAGTCTAGAATTCTTAAAGTGATTTTTTTTTTCTGTCTTCATATATTCTTGTCAAAGAGAGGCCTGTTGCCAGTAGTGTTAACTTGTATATAACTTGTTTTCCTTAGCCTCTGGCAGTTTTTAGCATTTGTTCTGTAGTGTTGGTATTTTGAAATTTTCCTTTTCAGACATCATCTGGTTCTATACTGACTGGGGATGATCCCTTTAGAACCCAAGACTCCAGACCAAAGGAATGTCTTCCACTCGGTTTGTCTCTACATTTTCTCATTTATCTCCTTTCTGTTTAGGTAGATGTAATTTTTGAACCTGTCTCAGTACCTTTTAGCTTTCCTTCATACTTTCTCCATCTGTACTTCTAGGTTGAGTAATGGGAAACACCTTGTGATAATCCTGAGAGCTTTGCTCTTCAGCTGTATCCCTTGACTATTTGGTTTTTTTTTTTTTAATTTAATGGCTCTGATATCCTTCTATGCCTCTGGGATATTAAATAGAGTTCTTTATTCTGTGGATTAAAAAAAAATTTTTGTTGTTTGGGCCTTTCATATTATTGGCTTTCTTGAAATATTTCAGTGATTCATGGTTGCAGTTTATTTAGTTGCTCACTTTTGTGTTGCAGAGTTTCTTTTTGTGGATTTTTTCTTAAGATTTTATTTATTTGAGAAAGTACACAGGTGGGGGGGAGCGAGGAGCAGAGGGAGAGGGACAAGCAGACTCCATGCTGACCGTGGAGCCTGACGTAGGGCTTCCTATCAGGACCCTGAAATCATGACCTGAGCCAAAACCGAGTGGGATGCTTAATCGACTGAGCCATCTATTGGTGGATGGGAGCAGTGGGCTGTGCTGCCAGGTGAATATATGCCAGTATTTTGATTCTGGCATAGGGTGTTCTTCTCCTCTTGACAGTAGGCAAGTACCTGGGGGGCACTGCCCTGCTTCTCCAGTTCCAATGGCTTCACTTACTGTTATGTAATAGGCTGGGTATAGACATCCCTTCTACCTACCATTTGGCCCATGGTTGGGGAATGGGACTTACTTAGCTATTCTGCATCAACTCCCTAATGAATCACCCTGCCCAGCACCCATCGGTACCCTCCTACTCTCTGCATCTGTTGGTTCTAGGTTCTAACCCATTCCTCTGTTTGTAGTAGTCTTTACTGGTTTTGTGTTGTAGTTTCCTCATTTTATTTGCCTATAGCTTTGATTCCATCTGCCCTTTTTTAAAGAAATTATACAGTTTTGTAATTTTCTTTGTTGCTTCTTAATTCACTGAAAATAACTTCATAATATAACATTTTTAGGCATCTTTTTTTAATTATTATTTTTAAAGATTTTATTTATTTGACAGAGAGAGACACAGTGAGAGAGGGAACACAAGCAGGGGGAGTAGAAGAGGGAGAAGCAGGCTTTCTGCAGAGCAGGGAGCCCGATGCGGGGCTCCATCCCAGGACCCTGGGATCACGACCTGAGCGGAAGGCAGACACTTAACGACTGAGCCACCCAGGCGCCCCTAGGCATCTTCTTTGTTACTTTCTGTGGTTTCTACTTCTTTAGACAACAATGGCTTGATCTTTAGCAACAAACCTTCACTTGTTGAAGTATGAAGGAAAGCTCGTACCACGAAATGTCCCACGAAAGGTCCCAAACTGAGTGGTCTGTGCTTACAAACATCACTGATAACTGCTGGCAGATTCGCAGCTATCTGGTCACTTAGCGTATCCAGTGCTGCTGTTTTGGTCTCGAGAAAGTTCTCCCTTTCTTCGTCTACTTTAATTTCATGTCTAATTTTAAATAATTCAAGCATTTTGGGTATGTCACGGCCAATGGAATTTCCAGTTAGTTTTGGAAATTTTTTTTTCAGCTTTTTCTTTAATGGATTAAGCTCGGGCATTATTTCTGGAACAGCTACATAAAAGTCTGATTGAATTTCATCATCCAAAATCTTCCAAATTAGATTAATAATTCCTCCTGCAAATGCAGCTCCACTTTCTTCTGCTATTTTAATCTCTGATGAATTCCTTGTAAATATAGCAACTTTACTGATTTCTGAAACGAATGGGTATGGAAAACAACACTGGCAAATGGCTCCACTTTTTTTTCTTCCCCAGTGCCACATCCAGTGTCAAATCAAGATAAACACCTTACTGTAGATTAGTAAACCCTAGAGTTTAAAATTTCTTAAGTAACTGAATAGTTTCTCCACCACCTATATCTGCCTTGGATATAAGTGCTTTAAGTAGACATCATCCTCAGGTTTGCTTTCCATAAAGGAGTAGAACTATTTTTCTATTTCATCTTTTTTCTCATCTGATGCTTTGTCTTTCACACCTTTTTTTTTTTCTTTGCAGGCTTTGCAGCAGCAGCAAAATGTCTGCTGGGCACCTGAACATACACGGAACAAGGATAAAGAGGTGTCTGATAAGCCGTCTTGGAAAGACTATACTTTTGATGATGTATCAAAACTCTACTGAGGCACCTTATGGCGGCCACCATGTTGACCTTTCCCGATTCCATCTGCTTTTGACGTTTCTGGCATTTTTCAAAATGTCTACTTTTGCTAGCTCCTATTTTTCAGTGCTGTAGCAGATTTTATTTTTCTTCTGCTTTAGCACTTTATATAGGATTTAGCATTGAGAGGGATAGTAGGTGGTTCTGTCTGCCATCTTGATCCAGTCTACCACTTTAAGAAAACAGGACAAAAATTCTTTTGTAGCCTTTCTTTTATTCCAGTTAATTTCCTTGAAAATAACTAGTGTTACAGTGGCTCCTGGGATGGTCCTCTAGTTATAAAATATATTGTACTATTATCATTCACAGAAAGTACTGTTTACAAGGAACTACTGAAATATCAGCTCTTTGCTCTCAAACATGCACAACTTTGTGATGCACCTATCAATACTAAAAAGCAGTTCCGAGAATACTCTAAGGGATCATGAAATAGTTTGTGATAATTGATTTTATTTGCATTGAAAGATTAGGGATAATAGAACTATCTTAAAAACTACTCAGTTGATCAGGATCATAGTGTAAAATGTTCTTTTTGTCCTTTTTTAACAATGAATTATTAGACATGCATCCGTGAACAAAAGCACTGTTGTGGGAGTTGTAGAAATGAGCACCATCTGCCAAGGGACCTGGGAGGAGTCTTGCCCACCTGCACATCCAGTAAGAGGCAGGCAGACCTTGTTACAGGCTGTAGGACCAGCAAAACTGCCTCAAAACTTCTTGCTGCAATAAGGGACAAACCTGGAGAGTGCTGTCCTAGGTGGATATGAATGGATGACAAAGAATTCACAAAAATCCAGACTTCCCAAGAGGAGATTCCAGCACAACATGGGAGCAAAAAACACAAGTTTGGTTCAGTTAGGCCTATAAGAGGAACTTTCACAAAGCAACACTGCACAGGGCTGAACTACCCAGCAGTGGTAACTCCTCTCATGGGGGAAAGGAAAGCAGTGAGTGCCTGGCTACCCCAGTGCTGAGGGACCTTTATAACTGGGGCTAGGGTGGTCTGGGAAAGAGCGAAATAAGAATATCAAAGGACATTAAAGGAATGTAGTTCCTGCTGACAGTGCTCAGGAAGTCTGCCCACAAGCCTCTGGGCATGATTCACCCAAGTTTCACCCCACTGGGTCAGGTCCACGGGCACCTCCAATACCCCAAGGGCTAACCCAACATCTCCACCAACCCTGCAGTCAGCTCCTTGTACATGCTGGAGTGCAAATGCAACAGTAAGTTGAGTAAACACCATCAGAAAGACCAGGTTAGGTGGGCTAGGGAGAAACCACAAACTTGAGCTATAGCACCACCTTCTGGAAAATGAGAGGATTCTAGTAGGCACTGGTGAGCGCTAAGAACCAGGGAAGCCACAAAAGCTTAAGAATTCTTCCATAAGAGGGACAAGAAGAGTGTATGTATCCAGGTATATCTATACAAAAGCAGAGAAAACCCCAAATATAACAGCACCAATGAATAGTATACCCCATCTGAAGGCAACTGGTAAAGATTTAAGGAGATGTCAGCTACTTCAAATGTGAAAGGAGCAAGCCAAAATACAGGAACAGGAAAAATCAAGGAAACACATCATCACCAAAAGAAAATAATTTTCCAATAACCATGCTCTCAAAAGTATGGAATTTTGTGATCTGATAATTCAAAATAGCTGTTCTGAAGAAACACAACGAACTACAAGAAAACTCAGACAATTCAATGTAATCATCAGGGGGAAAAAAATACATGAGCAAAATGAGTTATTTACCCAAGGGATAAAAATCATAAGGAACCAAAAAGAAATTCTGAAGGTGAAAAATTCCATGAATGAAATGAAAAAAAATGCAACAGAGAGCATCTGCAGCAGAATAAAAGCAAATGGAAGATGATAGAATAAGTGATTTAGAGGACAGGAATTTTGAAATAACACCGTGTAGAAAAAAAATGAATAAAAAATGAAGAAAGCCTGTGTGATTAATAGGATTCCATCAAAAGAACAAATATTAGAATAACTGGGGTTCCAGAGGAGAAGAGATGTAGAAGGGGGCAGAAAATAAAAGAAATAATGGTCAAGAACTTCCCAAAAATGGGGAGAGATTTGGACATCCACGTTCATGAAGCTAACAGGACACGCTAGGATCTTAAAGCAAAAAGACCTTCTCTAAGACACATTATAATAAAACTGTTAAAAAGCAAAGATAAAGAGAGAATCCTAAAAGCAGCGAGGGGAAAAAGCCTGTAACCTACAGAGAAACACCTGTTAGGCTATGAGCAGATTTCTCAGCAGAACTATAGGTCAGGAAAGAGTGGAATCAAAGTGTTGAAAGAAAAAAATTACCAGCCAAGAACACTCTATCTGGCAAAGTTATACCTCAGGTATGAAGGAGAAATATTTTCACACACAAAAACTGAGGGAGTTCATCACCACTAGTCTAGCCTTGCAGTAAAGAGTAAAACTCCTGAACGGAGTTCTTCAAGCTGAAAAGACACTAATCAGCAACATGAAGACACAGGAAAACACACTGGTAAAGATGTATATGCAGTGTATGTATATACAGTCAGAAAACTCTAATTCTGTAATAGGGTATTTGTTAACCACTTAACTATAGAATAAAGCTTAAAGGCGAAGAGTACTAAAAATGATAGCTACTATAATTTGTTAATAAACATTATAAAGAGTAAATAATGACTTCAAAATATAGAAAGGAAAAGCAAAAGGATGAAGCTTTTTAGGCAATTGAAGTTCAGTTGCTATCAGCTTAAAATGGACTATTTTACCTATGAGACATTTTATGTAAGCCTCATGGTAACCACAAAGCAAAAGCCTAGAATAGATTCACAAAAGATACAGAAAGGGGGAAAGAAAACATACCACCATGAAAGGTCACCAATTTACAAAGGTATGCAGAAACAGGGAAAAAGAAAAAATGGAAATATGAAACAACTGGGAACCAATTAATAAGATGGCATTAGTAAGTCCTTACCTATCAATAATTCTAAATATAAATGGGTTGAATTCCCTAAAAAGGCAGAGCAGCTGGAAGGATTAAAAAAAAAAAAAAACCCCAACTATATGCTGCCTACCAGAGACTCACTTCAGCTTGAAGGACAAAAAAACTCAAAGTTACAGGATAAAAATTAGCATACAGAATCAGTTTCCATGTCTATACACTAATACTGAAACATCTCAAAAAACAAAGCTATCCCATTTACAATAAAATACTTAGGAATAAATTTAACGAAGGATGTGAAAGACCTGTGCAATGAAAACTACAAGACTTTGATGAAAGACACTGAAGTCGCAAACAAATGGAGAGATACCCCATGCTCATGGGTCAGAATTAATATTATTAAAATTCTATGCTCCCCAAAGCCATCTACAGATTGGACACAAACCCTATCAAAATTCCAATGGCATTTTTCAAGAATTTGAATAATCCTAAAATTCGAGACCACAACTAGCCAAAGCAATCCAAAAAAAGAAAGAAACCAGAGGCATCTCACTTCTTGATTTCAAACTCTGCTACAAAGCTATAGTTAAAACAGTAATGGTACTGACGTAAAAACAGACACAGAGACCAGTGGAACAGAGTAGAGAGCTCAGACATAAACCCTTGCGTACACAGTCAACTAATATTTGACAAGGGAGCCAAGAATATTCAGCGGGAAAACAAGTTCAACAAATAGTGTTGGGAAAACTGGATAACCACATGCAGAAAAATGAAATTGGACCCGTTATCTTACACCACTCACAAAAATTACTCAAAATGGATTAAAGTGTTAGAAGATCTGATCCTGTAAAATTCATAGAAGAAAACAGGGAAAAAGCTCCTTCAATTGGTCTGTGCAATGATATTTTGGATATGACCCCAAAAGGACAGGCAGCAGGGGCAAAAACCAACAAGTAGGATTACATCAAACTGAAAAGCTTCTGCATAGCAAACAAATAAAAAAGAAAAGGCAACCTATGGAATGGGAGACATCTGCAAATCATTTATCCAGTAAGAGGTTAATATTCAAAATACATAAAGAACTCATACAATAACAAAACAAAAAAATCCAATTAAAAATGGGCATAGGAACTAAATAGACATTTTTCCAAAGACATAAATGGCCAAAAGGTACATGAAAAGGTGCTCAACATCACGAATCATTAGGGAAATGCAAATGAAAACCACAATGTGGTATCACATACCTTACTAGAATGGCTATCATCAAGAAGACAAGAGACAACAAATGTTGGTGGGGATGTGAGCGTAAAGAAATGCTTGTACATTGTTGGTAGGAATGTAAATGGGTGCAGCCAATATGGAAAAAAATTATGGAGGTTCCTCAAAAATTAAAAATAGAACTACCATATCATCCAGCAATTCCTCTTCTGGATATATATCCAAAGGAAATGAACAAAGGATTTCAAAGAGATATTGCACTACTATGTTTACTGCAGCATTGTTCGCAATAGCCAAGATATGGAAACAATCTGAGAGTCTATCTAAACAGATGAATGGATACAGAAATTATGGTACACACACACAGCAATATTATTCAGCCATGAGAAAGAAGCAAATCCTGCCATTTGTGACAACATGGATGGATACTTGAAGGCATTAATACTAAGTGAGATAAGTCAAACACAAATACTATATGGTATTACTTATATGTCTATTCTAAAAGAGCCAAATTCGTAAAAGCAGAGGGGCGCCTGGGTGGCTCAGTTGGTTAAGCAACTAGTTGACTCTTGGTTTCAGCTCAGGTCATGATCTCATGATCTCAGGGTTGTGAGATCAAGCCCTGTGTGGGGCTCCATGCGTAGCATGGACTCAGCTGGGACTCCCTCTCCCTCTCCGCTCCTACCCCCTGCTCGCTCGCTCTCTAAAATAAATCTTTAAAAAAAAAAAAAAAAGCAGAGGATAGATTGGAGGTTATCAGAGGCTGGAGGGTGGGGTAATTGGGGACATATTACTTAAAGATACAGACTTGGAGATCTAATGTACAGCATAGTGATTACAGACAATACCATATTATAAATTTCAAAGTTGCTAAGAGGTTAGATCTCAATTGTTCCCACCACAAAAAATTATAATTATGGGACTGATAGAGGTATTAGCTACCAGTGTTTATATATATACACACACACACGTTATACCTGTTTATATATTGTAATATATAAGTATTTCAAACACCGTGGACACCTTAAACTTACACAATCTTATATTTTAATTATATCTTTAAAAAAACCCAACAAACTACTCAGTTGACTTTAGGAGAAAAGGCCCAGCACTGCCCTTAGCTGCCTCATCTTAGAGGGCCTCTTAAAAAATCTATGCCTAGGCCCTCCTGTAGCTGTGCCCCTGAGGGCAGAGACTACAGGGCCAACAGGATATCCCCACCTGGAGCCCATCTAATTCCTTTAAAGACCATGTTCAAGGTACCTGAGACAAATTTCCTGCCTGAACAGCTCCGCTTCCAGGGCCTGCATGAGCCTCTTCACCCAGGTCCATCTTCCCTAAAATGCACCCCTAAATCTATAGGGTGGCCAAGAGGTGGCTATTTTCCAGTAGTTCAAAATTTAGGCATGTAGGCTCAAGAGTCCACAAAAGTTCCTTTGAGGCCTGTCATTCACAGAACAGGTAGAAGAGGAGGAGAGGAATGGGCTGTGGGGTGGTTCTCCTCTGCCTGCTACACTTTGACATGGAATCCTGAAAATTCTCAAATCCAAGCTATATGTACATGCTATGAACATAATTTAATAGCTTGTTTTTATAACAGTGAAATCTTTTGACCTACTGCTTCAGGGCCTGCTAATACTAGGGGAGGGCCTAGGAAGGAGAAAAGTAGTGATTGCTAAATGGATTTCAGGTACAGCCCTAGCTAACAGAGATGCCACAAGGGAGCCTGCTCAGTTGTAATTAAGTCACAGCTACTGCCATCATCTTCAGCCAGTGGAAACTTACTTTGTAGATTCCCAGAAGCCTTAATTGCTCTCTTTCTTACAGAGTTCTTTTACGGTCTTTTAATCATGTAGCATCGTAGGCTCATCTGAATAAAAAATGGACTTGTTGATCGGCTAAGATCATAAAGGCAGTGTAGTATAGTGGTTAAGAACACAGCTCTAAAATCAGGCTGCCTTGGTTTAGTGCGTCGAGAGTCACTTAATGTCCCCAGGCCTAGTGATATGCTGGACCCGGCTTGCACCAGCTGAATGAGAGCCCATTATATGTGTATATTCCCAATTCCATGTTCAGTGACAAACCACACTGGTAGTTTGCTACTGGCCCTGTGGGAAGGGAAACTGGCTACAAATCTGATCCACAGAAATTGGTTCAAATTAGTTTCCGCTTTTGTAAATTAGTAATCCTTTAAAATAGTTATAATTAGTAATCCTTTATAATAGTTCCCACATTATAGGGAAGCTAGAATAAATAAGAATATGTGTGTCACATATAATCATTTAGCAAGTACTCAAATGCTACCAGTTATTAATACTACATGGACAGAATGTACAAAGGCCAGTTCTTTATAAGGCAAAGGAAACTTTGGAAACAAAGAGATACATATTTCCATTAAGGATGAAGTGCTGATGCGAGATCTTTGAAAGTCACCTTCCCAATTCCATTTCTTTGAAACTTACTTCCTACTGGTTTTGTGGTCTCTGTCAATAGAGGAAGCAGGAGGG